AAGGTTCTTCCCCCACAGGCTGGTTGGGCACTGAACAGGCTCCCCAGGGCAGTGGGCACAGCCCCAAGGCTGCCAGAGCTGCAGGAGGCTTTGGATGATCCTCTGGGGCACAGGGGGTGACTCTTGGGGCTGGGCCTGTGCAGGGCTGAGGGTTGGACTGGATGATCCTTGGGGGTCCCTTCCAGCTCAGCACATTCTGTGACTCTGTGTGAGGTCTCACCTCCACAGCCCCCATGTCTCTCAGGAAGCAGAGGCTGACGGACTCCAGGGCCTCCCGTGGCCACTCCTGGAACCAGTCGATGGTGGTGCAGCTGACGAGGGCCGGGAATCTCCTGCTGCGGACGCGCAGTTTGGAGCCAACGGGGGAAAAACACAGAGCAACCTGTGGAGCCCAGGGAGGAGAAGGGAGGAGGCAGGGCCAGGAGGAGGCACCGGGTTCCAGCCATGCAGCCCATCCCAGCCTCTACCAGCCACTTCCAATGGAGGATCCCACAGTTACCACCCAAACAGCAGAGACGGGACACACATCTCTCCATTCTACTTCCCAGGACAGAGCATCTCTTCTTCTCCTCCAGGAACCCAGGTCAAAGCAAGGGAGCAGCAACCTCTGTCCTGGAGCCCTCTGAGCTTTTTAAACACCCAGAAGCGATGATAACAGACAGCACATCCCATGCTTTGGTGCACCTTGCTGGGACAATCCCAGCTCCTGTCATGCCCAGACAGCAAAGCCTTTCAGGCTGCAGCCCCCCCAGGGCAGCCCAAGGCATCTCCACCCCTCACACCTGCTCCAGGGGGGATGGGAAGGATCTGGCCTCCCCCATCCCTCTCACCTTGAGCTGCCGCCGAGCCCGCTCTGTAAAAAACTTCCAGCAGGTCTCCCTGGAGCCCATCAACCCTTGGCCTTTGACTTCATTCCTCACGCTGTTGATGATGTTCTCGACTTCCTCATCAGGGAAGAGATCAGGTATTTCCCCTAAGAGAAGAGTTTGGGGTTACTGGGCTAGGCTGGGTGCTGTTGCAGTCTTAGAGCAAAGGGAAGCAGCTGCCTCCCTCTTCTGGGGCCCAGGGAAGTCCCTTCCTCAGGTAAAATCAGGTGCCAACAGGCCCCAGCAACAACAGAGGGGCACAGAAGGTCATGCTGCTAAAAAAGAAACACTTATGAAAGCAAACTTCCCTTAAGAAGCACAAGGGAGAGGGACATAAAATAGAGTCAGAGCATAGAAAGTCCATTTTTTTTAGTTCTACAGAGCTAATTAGATTACAATAAAATAATCAAATCCCTAATATGCTATACATTATATAAAATCATTTGAGTTTGGCAAGTGCATTAATTACATGTACAATTTCTGCAGCTGTTCAGGGCCATTGCCAGCAGTGGTCAAAAAACTCACAGGTCACCAAAACATTTTAAAAGCTAGAAATCTTGTAAACATTTTTAAAATTTAATAATTGAGCAATTGATTGCCATAAATGCACCCAACTAAATATTTTTTTTTAGTGCTTCTTTAATTTGTCACCTACTCTCTTCCTTTTTGGCTTCTGATTTGATTAAAATCCCCTTTATTGAGTCAGCTACTATCAATATGAGCAGTAATCACTTAAGGAAATACATTAATTCAGAAATCTGCTCATTTAAAAGAATTACTAAAAGGTATATTTTGTTCTGGCTTTCTAAATGGTAAGAAGTGAAACAAGTTAAAAATTAGAGGCTGCAGAGCAGGGAGCAGCCAGAGCCATCAGCCAGCAGCCCCTGGGCAGCCCTCACTCACCTCATGGGGAGTCTCAGTCTCCTATGTTGCCTCCCAAACCCTGGAAGGGGACCTTGGATCTGTCACCACAGTCCCCCAGAGCAACCACAGGAAAACCTGATGCCTTTCAAAGCCACCATGAGCTGCCTGGGACACCACAAAGCCAGGATGCTCAGTCCACCCCTCACTGCAGGACAAGGAATCCCAGAATCCCAAAAAGCTTTGGGCTGGGAGGGACCTTAAAGCTCATCTCCTTCCACCCCCTCCCACAGGCAAGAACACCTTCCACCAGCCCAGGTTGCTCCAAGCCCCGTCCAACCTGGCCTTGGACACTTCCAGGGATGGGGCAGCCACAGCTTCTCTGCCCAACCTGTGCCAGGGCCTGCCCACCCTCACAGGGAACAATTCCTTCCCAGTATCCCATCTAACCCAGCCCTCTGGCAATGCAAAGCCATTCCCCCTTGTCCTGTCCCTCCAGGCCCTTGTCCGAAGTCCCTCTCCCACTCTCTTGGAGCTCCTTTAGGCACTGGAAGGGGCTCCCTGGAGCCTTCTCTTCTCCAGGCTGAACAGCCCCAGCTCTCTCACCTGAGCTTCCCCTTCACTCATCAGGTGTTTGTGCATCTACATCAGGAGCTGGGGGGAGCTACTTCCTGCCCTCCACAACGACCCTCATCCTTGTTCCTGGTTATAAAATCATCACAGGCAGCATTTGCTTGATGGTGAAACCATCTGGCCACCAATTTACAGCCCCAAATGTCACCTCTGGAGTTAAACACAAATAACTCTCAGTTGTGCTGCTGATTCCTCCCCCCTCCCCATCCCTGGAGGGCACCTGAACCAGCTGGTACCTCCCTAAGCCTGGCCTATAAACAAGGCCACAAGTGGCAGGCAGTGATTTCTCAGGGAGCGTGGGGAACATGCCCACTCTGGTTGTCCCCCACAGCCCCAGTGATGATGCCTTAAAATCTACCTGAAATGAGTTTCAATAGAGCTTGCTAGTACCTTTGTACAAAATTCCTAATAATGCTGTTTAACATTGTTTGTTAAGAACTTCAACAGACAAGGGACTTTAACAAGGTGAAGATTTCTCTCTTTGTAAAAACATACTCAGAAAGAGGCGTAACAGCTGATACAACCAGTCAAAGCTATTCAGAAGCCTGGAGGCCATTCCAGAAGGCATGATAATGTGCCAAAGACCAAGGGAAAAGATGAGGAAGATGAAGACAGAAGGGTCTTCCAGCCCTCTGACTCAAATTCAGGAGGTGTGTCAGGGGTGGGGCGAAGGTGGTAGAGTTGGAGGGACGATTTGGGAAGGAGGTGTAATGCTTTGAACTGTTAATTAGGTAACTAAATAAAAGCAAGAGGCTTTTGTAACTCTGGCTGCATGCTTTGGAAGCTAAAACTCACTGATGGAGTCTTAGGGCTTTTATCTGGAGCTGTTTTTAGGCATCACTGACACAACCTGCACTCCCAGGGAGCTGCAGCACACCCGGCCCAGGGAGTGCTCACCACACATCTGTGCCACATCCTGCAGGGAGGAAGAGCACTGGCACAGACACTGATTGCTCTGCAATGGTTTTGGTGAGCAACAACCCAAAACCTTCAGTGCATGTGGAAAAACAAGAGGAGAAGGACTGGAATGGGATAAGCAGCCAGGTGATGCACACAGACATGGTCATCGTGGCTTTGCATCATCTACCAGCCACAGATACTCCAAGGAGCAGGATGCTCTGCCTTGATAGGTCTTACCTGCCTTGGCCATCAAATCCAGCCAGAGAATCCAAACCCTGTGCTGAACTACCACTGGTGCCATGGTGCTATTTTGGTGTTGAATTGTGCTAAAAGCAGCCTGGTTCACCAACTGCAAACACACGCCCTGCTTTTTGAAGCAGGATTTGACAGATAAGCTGCTGGCTGGCCTGGGAATATGTGACTGGCAGTCAATCACTATATAACTATAAAAGCCCAGTCCAACTTTCATATGGCAGATTCTTCCACAGGCATTCTTGGAGTGTGTGGAGCTTCTCCTGTAAAGCAGTGATGCCTCTTCGTGGTCACTCCCCAGAGCTTGAGTGAAAGCTCTGCCCAGGATCCTTGTGTGGTGAGTTACATCAATCCCTACTTAATGATTGTTTCTTTTTGCCAGCTTTGATACAATTGCTTTGATAGAACTGCTTTGATACAGTGCACTAGCCTATCTTATACTGTATCATGAATAGTTTTTAGCTTTTATACTGTGTAGTAAATAATTCTGAGTAAGATCTTTCATCTGTTCATTTGTCTGTTCTTTTGTCATAATAAATAATTCCCTTTATATAAATATATCTGATTTGACATCATTAAAACCTGTGGGACAAAGTCATTCACTCTTAATTCCTTAAACTGTGGACAAAATCTGAGGCTGAGATTGGATCCAGCCACCCCAGGCTCGTCTCTCTGATGAGTTTAGAAAGCCAGGGGGTCCTTTCTACAACTTGTAGCTCAATGAAAGGGCTTTTCTAATAAATTTTGTCTAAGCCTTTCACCTCCCCCCCTCCATGACACTCCAGTCAATTCTTCTAGCCAGGAACAACCTTAATTTATCATGTGGACACATGGGATCCATAGGTGAAACTCCTCACCTTTGGCTCTGTCCTCAGCTGCAATATCCCAACAGACACATCATATAACAACCACGTGCAGTATTCCATGGTTTATGCAAAAAGGGGCACAAGACATGAGTGAAAGCAAAGAAATCTCCCAGCTGATGGAGCTGCTCCCCAGGGAGGCCCCGGCATGGCTTTTACCCAAGGGCTTAACCCCTGTGACTTCCAGCTTATTCCATTCTTGCCCTGCTGTAGATTCTAGAATTCCAGGTGCTCCACTGAAGATGGGGAGAGGAGAAATCAAAGCAGGAGGAATGTACCTGATGCCAAGAAGTCGTTGACCAGCACCAGGAACTGCTCGTCCACCACCTGCACATCGGTCAGCAGGAACACGGTGCCCGTGTTCTTCACACCAGCCTTCAGGTACAGGTTTGCCAGGTCTGCCTGGAGGTTGGAAAGCAAGAGGGGTTGTCCCTACACTCTGCAAAGCATGGACAGGGTATCAGTGCTACCAGCTGGATAATTCAGAACCTCCCCGTGCACTGAGAGCAAAGCAATTGCAGTTAATTGGTGGGAAACTGCACTTTGGCCACTCTGCACCTTCATGTCTGAGCCTTCCAGCCCATTCCTGTCACCACTGTCAGGCATTAACAGGTCAGGCTTGACATCATGCCCAGGTCTGGATAACAGAGAAATCAGAAGAAGGTCCCGGCCAGCACTGCCAGACCAGGGCAATGTCCCTGGCTGAAAGCACCAATGCAATCCCTGGCTGTGGAGACTGTGATTGTCCCTGTTTTCCTGCCTGCTCCCATGGAATAGCAGCTGTATTTCAAAGGGAACAGCATCCACCATCTTTGGGAAATCCAATTTTTTCATCAGTTGAATCATCATAGAATAGCTTGGGTTGGAAGAAGATGTTCATCCAGCTGAACCTCCATCCTTTCCTTCCCACCCCTCCAAGCAGGGTCCCAGACACGTGAGGGATCCTGAAGGATTGTGCACTGGAAAAGGGTTCAGAAACTCTCTTAGAAATTCGGCAAAACACACATGCTTTAAAAAAAAACACAACACAGTTTGCTACTTTGATTGCTGGAAATTTGGATTAGATGGATGATAAGAGTGGGGAAGGCCAAAGGCAGATGGGGAAGGTGTCACCATCTTGCTCTTCCATAGATGAGAAAAAAAAAAATTACACTATATTTCACCTTAGGAACAAATTCCTGACGGTGAGGGTGGGCAGGCCCTGGCACAGGTTGCCCAGAGAAGCTGTGGCTGCCCCATCCATGCAAGTGTCCAAGGCCAGGTTGGACGGGGCTTGGAGCAACCTGGGCTAGTGGAAGGTGTCCCTGCCCATGGCAGGGGGTGGTCTTTAACGTCCCTTCCAAGCCAAACCAGTCTGTGATTCATAAATTCTTTGCAGATGAATACAGAGTGAAGGGAACATCAAATTATCTCCCACCTCTAGAGACAGAGAAGCAAAGAGATGTTTTGAAAACAAGTTGATTAAAGCTGGTATTGAGCTCCATTCCCAGCTGAGACTGCCACAGGAAATGGGCAGGTAGGAGCTGGAAAATCCCAGGAGTTGGGCTCAAAACAGAGCAGAGATGAAAATACCCAATGGATGGTGGGACAGACTGGTGTGACATCATGGAAATAGCCTGAACACAAACACAGGTCATCAGGCTGTGCCACTGATGGGGAAGGAACCTGGAGTCATTGGCCATTGCATCTCCCAGCAGAAGGGAGTGAAGTTACTGTGATGGTGGTTTTCACATTTTTGTACTGCAAATCATTTGCCAGCAGCTAAAAAACTTAAAAAACCTTCCAGTGATATCCCAAAATGTTAATTTATAACTCCTAAGCTCACTGGCCTATGCATAAATATAAGCACAAGTAGATGTTGTCTTTAGTGAACCATTCACAATCCGCTCAGTCCCTTCACATACAAAATAGCAGAGGAGGAAATGCATCTGATTTGGGATTGGGATTTCATACTTGCTCCTTTTCTACCTCCAAATCACTCCACAACAGGCACCTCACAGATGAGCTAATTACCACACCCTGGTTTAACTAGAAATACCTAGGCTTCATTAGCACAGCTCAGGGCTGACACTCAAGGCTGGTCTGGAATGTTCTCAGTGCTTGGAGCACTGGCATAAGACACCA